GCTGCGCCTGCGCTGGCCCAAAAGGCCCCATTAGGTACTGCATCATGGCTGCGCCTGCCCAAGGTGGTGCCGGGGGGTTGTCTGGCTGGGGCACGATGGGTGCCCCCACTGGCAGGCAGTCGGTGCTCCCACCGCCCACTGCCCACGGCACGGACAGCTGTGGAGGCGGCCTCTGCCCCTGCTGCATGAGAAACGGCAGATTGGCAAACTGTGGGGAAAAGTTTGGGGGCATTGTCCGCGGTGCTGCTTGCTCAGATATCGGACCCTCCGACGTGTGGTGCGTGTCCTCCGACATGTGGCAGCTCGTAGAGTTTGGGGGGCGGGGTGAAGGGCTCTGGTGGCAGCAACAAGTGAACAAGTGAACCCCGGCTCACGCAAGGGGGCACACACTCACACGCTGGAAATTTGGGGCGAAAGGAAAACCTGCGCGTTCACTTCTTTTCCACCATTTTTTGTTTTGTAAGGGCATTAACAGCCCGATGTAGATGAGGAACAGTCACAAAACATGGAATGGACATGCAATGATACTCAGCACTGATCCTCAGTTGATGGTGACGTACAATACACAATCCCAATTGGATGCTGGCTACCCTGCATCGACACCAAGTGACGTATGGCATCTTCGCATCAGTATGTGGTGACGTCCTGTGGAACTGATGGACCCATCGTGAACACAGCAAAATGTCGTAGATGAGCTTTTGCATTGATGCTTTCCTCTGGGCGCATGCATCACTCATCTCTTCCATATTTTACCAATGTGCAGCGTGGAGCTCCAGGGAGGGCAGCAAATGCGAAGCTGGGCTTGAACCAGAAGGATTCGCACCTTCCCCCTGTCCGTGTCCTGCTGCTGGCTTACCCTTGCTGCCGCAGCGGCAGACAGTGACCCCGGCGCGTCGCAGCCCGCCATCTCTGAAGCTGTTCGCTTCACCCCCACCAACTGCTCGGCGTCGGGGGCATACCGCACGGCTGCAGCCACACACACATACACACACACACTCCTTCAGAAATGCAGGCAGAGGCCAGGACTGGGCACAATCGTGGACTGCCTCCGCAGCTGGAGCATCTGCACAGGCCAGGGGCAGCATGCTTTGGAGTGTTGCGGAACCCTGCAGCCCCAAGAAAATCTGACCAGCAGCAACAACAACAGAACATTCACTCACGGCAACCAATTAGGAGCTTAACTGCCACCCCAATCCCAGGGTCCCTGCCGCAGAGACATGGCCAGTGACTCAGGGTCCCTCACCGGTGGGCCTGGCGATGGCCTTCCTGTCCAAGCTGTCCTCCTCCCTGTGGTCCCCCTGTCCCTCCGCCTGCCCCGCGCCGCCCGGCGCCGGCTTGCCGCCCTCCGCCGTCCCCTGCAGCGCGCCCTGCCGGTCGGGCTTGAGCGTCGTGGACGCGCCGTTGCCATTGCTGCCGCCGTTACCATTGCCGTTCTTGTCGCTGCCGTCCTGCCTCTTGTGCGCACCCACGGGACTGTTGGCGCTCACCACGCCCGTGCTCTGGTACCGGTTGCCGGAGCCGTCCTTGTCCCTGCGTGCCAAAAGCGGCACCCCTCAATCCCCCAATCCCTGAATGCCTGAATGCCTGAATCCCTGAATCCCTCAATCCCTCAATCACTAAATCCCTCAATCCCTGAAAGCCTGAAAGCCTGAGGCCCTGAAAGCCTGAATCCCTGATTCTGAATGTTTCGCTTCCGACAGTGGAGCATTGCCTCGGCTTGCGATGGCGCGCCCTTCTCGGTCGTCACGTGCGTCAACCGGGCGTCCTGGCTGTCGTCGATCGCCGAACGCAGCATGGCCCACGGGCTCGGAGGAGCGCCGATCAATCCCGCAAGGGGGGATTGCGGATGAGGGGAAAGATTGGCTACGGTGGATTCTTGGTGGGGCGCGCGCGCCGTACCCGCTGTTCCCGTTGCCCTCCTTGCTGCCGCAACCCTCCTGCCCCGGCGCGCTGCCCTCGTTGGAGGCCGGCTCGTCGTCGTCGTCGTCGCTGCGGGCGGCCACAGAATCAATCCTGGGTCAGGGGTTGTGCGCCCGAGCGCTCGGCCCACGCGACAGCATTGGGGCGGGGGGCGTCGGCGGTGGCGGGGCCGCCCAGTTTCTGTCGCCGGCCGCAGGCCCGGCGGGCGGGCTGCGAACCTGTACCACCAAGCTGGCGCGGCCTGCGATTTTACGGCCCGCCCGTCAACGCAGAGCCGCCGGTCAGGTGGCGGCCGTCGGCGACAATCCATGCGCCGCAATCCTGCGCCGCCGGCACCCGTCGATCGCATCACGTTCCACGACACGCGGCTCACCATTTCGTGCCCTCGCTCTCCTGCGACGAGGTGCGAGGCGCCAGCAGCGCGTCAGCCACCGCCGTGGCGGGCGTCACCTGCGGGCCAGCCAGGGGTGCGGGGTCAGGGGCCGCGCAGTTGGACGGATAGCCGCAAAGAAGTCGTCTGTCGAGGCGCGCACCTGCCGCCAGACGCGCGTCCACAGGTGCCTCAGCTCATTCTGGCGCAGCGGCTTGACCAGGTAGTCCGACGCGCCCAGGCGCAGGCATTCGATCACGCGCTCCCTGTCGTCCTGCCTCGAGAACACTGCGAGAGGGGCGAGGGAGTGGACGGTCAGCCGGGAACCCCGCCCCCGCGCGGCCGGCCCGCGGCACAATACAATCGCGCGTCAATCACGGCCCGAGTGCCTCACCGACGACGGGGGTCGCCTTCATGCCTTCGTCTCGCGCGAACTCCCGCAAAAGCCGGCAGGCGTTTGAGCTGGGCGGCTCGTGCTCCTTGAGCACCATGTCGAACGGCAGCGACCGCTCACTCTTCCGCAGCACGTCCAGCGCCTCAATCACCTCCTTCGTGTTTTTCTTGCTCGTGACCTGCGCAGCCAGATCCCCCCTGCCTGACCCAGCTGCCCGAGACTAACCTAACCCTTCCACAGCCGCGATTCTCGCTCACCCCCCGGCCTCCAACGACCCCCTCCGGCAGCCCAGTCCCCGCCCGGCGCTCCCGTCGCCGGCGGCGTCCGCCCCGCGCGGCCCCCACCTGGTACGAGCACTCCTGCAGCATGGTCGTTATTTCTCGCCGCGACGCCGGGTTGCTGTCCACCACCAGCACGCGGAGCGCGCTGGGATCCAGCCGTCCCGACGCGCCCTCCCGCGCCTCCGTCGCGCCCGGCGCCATGCGGCCCTCGCCGCACGCCATCTGGCCCGCCCGCCCGCCCCCCGGCGGCTGCTCGGGCCGCCCCAAAACACGCCGGCCCACGCGGAAACAGAAAATCAGGCCGTCTGACACCCGGCCGGTGGGTACCTCCCCTCAGCCGTTAAGCCGCGCCGGCGCGTCGTTGCTCGCGTGGGCTCTGCGTAGCGCTGGGGCTGCGCGCCCTTCGGTGTCTGCGCCCTGTTGCGTGCCGCACCCGTCGCGTGATGCACTTGGGGGCAAAGTATCTTCCCAATGGTGTATATCCCGGGCCTGGGCGCAAAATCGGATTTGGGGCGGGGTGGGTGCAGCAGCTGACGATGGCGCAGGGATCTTGGTGAATTGGACCAGGATCGCAGGCCGGCGCCGTGTTGGGCCGTATCGGCGGGACAGCTTGTCGCGCGTGCTGGCGTGCCAGCGGGCGTGGCGGGGGCGTGCCGCCACGTGGGCAAAATCCTGGGACACGGGGCCCCACAACGGGCTGTGGGTGGCGACATTTTGCGGCCCTGCGGCGGACTCCCAATGGGGCCATGGGGATGACGGGGACGTGTGGGGCGAGGGCTGCGCATGGGGCGCTTCGGTGGTGGCTCGCCGACGATGACGACAGCCTACAGCGATTCGACCGCAGCAGGCCAGCGCAGGCGCTGGGCGGTGGGGCAACCAACGTGGTATGCGGGCGTGGTGATGCGCCTGTGGTAGATCTACCATGCTCCAACGCGGCCAGATGATTTGTCGTTTGTTCGATTCACCGCGTGATGGCCAGCACGATCTAAGAGCATCTTTTATCGATCGGTGCTATTGCACCAGCGGAGCTATCCAGGAACGGTTCTTATTGGCTGCCGTGCCACCTTGGTATAGCGGCATTTTCCGAACAACACCGGTGCTATTGCTCCCCTGCGCACATCCGCAATGGCGGGTGCTATTCCCAAGCCGAATAGCATCATAGTAGCTGACAGGTTAACCGAGGGCTCCCGCGCACTCACACGGTCGCTCCCAGGCACGAGAAGTGAGGCCGCACCCAGATGCATTACAGGATGATCGTACTAGCTAAATAACAATCACTGCAATAGCGTTCACCTTTCGTCTCTCTTGTCTACATATACATTCACCATAACACCATACTCACCATATCTACTTCTTACCATAAGAACACCATATGTCACACATTATATACTTCCTCCGTCCGGAATTAATTGTCCTCTATGATTTTGGCACAATACTTCTCTATCACAATCACCTCAGTTTTCAATGAAATTTCTTCCAAAGTTGTGTCTATGTCTCGGGAGTATATAGTCAAAATTTCAACTTGATCTATCAAGTATTGAGAATCTGGCAGTACTTTGTAGCAAGGGGTCTCCAGCCGAAAACCACCCGTTTTCGACGAAGTCACCGAAACTGGCGTTTTTCGCGATGGTGAGGGGCACACCTTCCCGGCGGCGAAACAAAGCCGCCTATACAGAACTTGACAAGATCGTGGCCACGCCATGGCCAGACCTCTCCGGAGGGCAGCAGTGAAGAATCGACTTGAACCCAGTCGAACGGGGGCGAATTCGATCGACGAAATGGCCAGAAACGCACAGGCCGATCGTCTCACGCCAGTCGCACGCAGGGCCTGAGTCCCTCCCTCGAAAGGGATGCTCACTTGGCCTCGCAGGTCCTCTCCTCAACCGGTGAGGAGGCCTGGCTGGCTGCAGCAGCCGTAACCAAAACGAGTTACAGACCGAGAGAGGCCTACATTGCCAGCTCGTCGGATTATATACAAGTTCGCGTTCATTCTCAGCCATACACACTGCAGAATATGCCTCAGAAGATTCCCTACTATCCTTCTTGTAATGCCTCTTGTTATTCACATCCGAACTTTTCAACACTTGAAGTCCCATCACCGTGCAGCCCCTATGGGCCGTCCAAATCCAACCAAATCCTCCACCTAGTGTTTAGTCACCCTATATGTTCGATAGTGTACGCATTAGAGGTGGCCACTCAAAGATGCCATCCGGTCCGTTAAGTCCGGTTCGTTAATTTTTATCAGCTGTCCGTTAAATTTTGTTAAAGAAAAAGGGAGAAAAATTCAGAAAAAACGAAAAAAATCCAAAAAAATCGAAAAAAAAACCCAAAAAATCACAACAACTGCGGCTAGTTGAAAATCTAGTATGCATAGGTTGAAATAAAATACAAACATACTCTATAATAGCGAATTCCATAAACTATAAGTATGACTAAAACCCAAAAATCCCCAAAAAATCCAAAAATCCGTTAATTTTTGGTTAATTTTTGTCTTTTTTCGTTATTTTCCATTAATTAACGGAAAATTAACGGAAATTAACCTCTGTCCGCTATTAAAGGATCCGGGTGGCCACCTCTAGTACGCATTGGACACTGATTTTCTTTAGATTCTCTCACCTGAAGTTCCCTTGAACTCTAACGCTATCACACTACCGCTGCTGACCTGGAAGATACCGAATCCGAGCCACTCGAGGCACTACAGCTATGGCAGCGCAGCCGTCGAAGATCTGGCAGGACAGGCTCAAATTTCGAGCGTATCTCATCACAAACTAACCTATTTCAAGGCTACGGCGGACAACAGTCTCCCCTATTCCTAGAATACTTTAACAACTATTTCTTTCTAGCAACACTTACTTTTTCAATCCTAAAAACCCTCAAAAGTCCGTCGGAAACAAAGGTTGTTCCTTAGGGTCCACTTATTTTGTTCTTTCTAGGACCTTAGATTTCCCAAAAGTTATCAGAAAAAACATAAATTTTGTACCATTCAATTGCAAATTAAATTTGCAATTGATCTGTGTCATCAAAACCTTATAATGACCCCATCTAGACCATAATGGGATCCCTGGCCTGATTGCCGTCAAACACCCACGTGCCAGGTCGCGTACAGTCGCCTAGCATACTAGAGGTGGCCACCCGGATCCGTTAATAGCGGACGGAGGCTGCCGTCCGCTAATATCCGTTAATTTAGCGGACCCCGCCCTCTTTGTTGCTGACGTGGCACGGATGGGAGCGGACGGCTGGCCCCAATCAGCGGACTCTGCGGATTCCCCTTGGGTGTTAACGGATATTCTCTTACGGACCGGAAGCCACGTACCCCATCTGCTAATCTAGCGGATGACAGCGGACGTGTGTACCGAATCAGTGGATGATAGCAGAGCCCATGCAGTAAGTACTGATTTTGGAATCTGCGGATCGGGTTGATTGCCAGCGTGGCTCAGCCAGGGTCCACATACTAGAGGTGGCCACCGGGATCTGTTAATAGCGGACAGAGGTTAATTTCCGTTAATTTTCCGTTAATTAACGGAAAATAACGAAAAAAGACAAAAATTAACCAAAAATTAGCGGATTTTTGGAGGAGCGGATTTTTGGGGGATTTTTGGGTTTTAGTCATACTTATATTTTATGGAATTCGCTATTAGAGAGTATGTTTGTATTTTATTTCAATCTATGTATACTAGATTTTCAACTAGCCGCAATTGTTGTGATTTTTTGGGGGTTTTTTCGATTTTTTTGGATTTTTTTCGTTTTTTCTGAAATTTTCTCCCTTTTTCTTTAACGAAATTTAACGGACAGCTGATAAAAATTAACGAACCGGATTTAACGGACCGGATGGCACCTTTGAGTGGCCACCTCTACCACATACAGCGGACCTTGTGTTGCGGCCCGCGGGCGGCCACTGGTTTCCGGAGTTCTGGGGGCGGTCGCCGCACCCGATGGCGCGGCCTCGATGCCGCGCCTCTCCGCCGGATTCCGGCGGGCGTTGTCGGGGTGCTCGTTTGTTCAATAGCGCGGTGGGCCCTTGGACGCTCGGGGACCTTCCCCGAAGCCTGCCGTGTGCAGGCGGTGGATTCGCGGCGGCGTTCGGCGGTTCGCTGCCTCGCGGCGGGGCAGAGAGTGGGGCCCGAATGGCGATTACAGTCTGACATTCGCGATGCACATCCAATGTACCTGCGCGATGCCCGGTCGCGGGTCCATCGCGTCACATCAGACAAGACAACACAATGTAATGTACGGGCCGTGTCCCAGTGCCCCCGGTCACTTATAATCAATCCTAATCTAGCTCTAATTCCAACCATTCCCACCCAGCACCCGGCCTCTCAGTACTACGTCTTCACGAGGCCGTATCTTCCTCCATACTCCTCAGAACTGAGTGCTGAACGAAGCGTTGAACCAGGAAATCATAAGTAAACCATAGATAAGGATGACTCAGCAAGATTACGTAATATAACTGCAAAAAACACCATTTACTGCCTGCCCCCAAGTAGTTCCACAACACCTTGGTTGTGACTGCGCACATATTTTGTTGCCCTCCTATTGCCATCCGCCGTGTCCAACCCCCCTGCCGCCTCCACCTAGTGTTTAGTCACCCTATATGTTCGATAGTGTACGCATTAGAGGTGGCCACTCAAGGGTGCCATCTGGTCCGTTAAATCCGGTTCGTTAATTTTTATCAGCTGTCCGTTAAATTTCGTTGAAGAAAAAGGGAGAAAAATTCAGAAAAAACAAAAAAAATCCAAAAAAATCAAAAAAAACCCCAAAAAATCACAACAACTCCAACTAGTTGAAAATCTAGTATGCATAGGTTGAAATAAAATACAAATATACTCTCTAATAGCGAATTCCATAAACTATAAGTATGAAAAAAACCCAAAAATCCCCAAAAAATCCAAAAATCTGCTAATTTTTGGTTAATTTTTGTCTTTTTTCGTTATTTTCCGTTAATTAACGGAATAATTAGCGGAATTAACCTCTGTCCACTATTAACGGATATGGTTGGCCACCTCTAGTTGGGAGGGGTGTGTTGAGCTCTTCGGACACTGATTCGCTTGGAGGTGCATCGCCAAGTTCGAGTGTCGTTGTGGTGGAGGATGTGCCGCGGCCGGGGGCCAAAGCGTCGACCACCCTGAAAAACCGCGCGCATTTTATTGATGTCGGACTCACGGCAGCGACAAACGCTAACTGCAGAACTAAAGCGTCCCGCGGCGCGTAATGGTGGCGACAGC